GCTGGCTGGGGAATTCTGGGAGTTGAAGTCCTCCAGGCTTAAAGTTGCCAAGGTTGGACACCCCTAGTTTAAATGATAAAATGATTTTAATGATAAAACATTTATCATTATTGAATTAACAAGTTGCTGACTTCAAAAAGGGTTAACTTGGTTAGTGCTTGGCTGTGAAATCATGCAGGAATACTAGCAATGTAGATTAAGATACAAATTAGTAAAATCATAGAAGCAGCTTTGAAACTTTCATTTGCTCACAATATCTGCTTTTATTTTCATATACAGAAACTGATGAATAAGACATCCAGTTACCTTAGCCAATGTACTATATGCCAAACCAAGGATCCCTTGCCATTGAATGCCTTTTAAAAAGAAATTTTCAGATTGAAAAATGGTAGCAACGTTGATGATATAAGTGCCATTTATTCCTTTAGGCATTCTAACAACATCTGTTCCAAGAATTCCATTCCAACTTCCCTGGGTATATTTAACAGTAACCTCAGCATTCAGCGATTTATATGTGCTAGATCTAAGAAAAGAAACAAAGTGTTATAAACCAAGTTATTCCATATTCTGTGATGAAAGCATAATATATACAGTCTACCTTCACTTTCAAGAATAGCCATTATATCTACTGTATAAAAACAGCAAAACTCCACCAACCAAGCAATACAACCAACCAAGCAGTATGTAGTACAACCACCACATTAGTCAGGCAAATTCTCCCTCTCCATATATCCTTGCATACATATCAGTCTTTTAATTTATATGTAACAAAGCCACATAAAGGAAGACTGTGGCTAAGGACTTCCTTCTTAAAGGGGTGCACCTCCCTTCTTTTTAAATCTTCCTTTTTTCTGTGAAAATATTACGCATAAATACCACTTCTTGTGAAATGCTGGGTGTCATTTACATTCCAACACAATCAAGCTTGTCCTGTTACTAGATGCTTTGCAATATCTGAATATGAAATAGAAGCATGCAACTATTTCATCTTAAGACAACATGTCTTTTCACTGCATTAGTCATGTATTTATTACTGCAATTTTAACCTGCCTCATGTCATTTTTATCTAATGCACTTTTTGCCAAATATTAGTCCTTTCTCTAGCATGTAATTTCAGTTGGGTAACAAATGACATCCCTGCCCTCAAACCCCACATTTTCCTGTGCATTTATCAGTGCAGAGTTGAAGTATTCATACATTATTCCAATAATTTATTTATTACATTTATTCATTATTTAATTTTTATTTCACTGATACAATGACTCTGGGCAGCTTACAGTGTGATACAGTATGATAACCTTGCTTCATTGCATACACAGTACATACACATTTGATATAAGTATGTATCCATGTGTGGTACTGCAGTCAATCACATAATAAAAAAGGAAGAATGCAGCTGACTATTTACAAATTATAACTGTGGCACACCAAGCTTCTTGAGAAGAAATGTTGACTTGACTCCCAGGAGGAAGGAAGTGTTTTCCAGAGGAACAAGAGGCATCCCAATTTAGATAGTTGGTATGGGAGAAAAAGGGTAAAAATGGTTCCTCCCTAACAGTTCCCAGATATTTGTTTTATGGTGCAAGTAGTTTGGCAAGATTTCTATCTATAGGTGAGGAACAATAGGGGAAACTGCTGAAAGAATCACAGTGAGTCTTTCTTGGCTTTAGGAGCCTGACACTTCTCACACAGTACTAGTAGGGTGGACTAAGGATTCTGTTTCTTCATCTTTAGAAAACTTATTTTCTAAAGGAGACATTACCATGCTGGAGAAATCATATCATGTGTATCAATTAAATAATTCTAATAGAGATACACAGTCAGAAGTGTGATGGAACACTTAAACAAGAAATGGGGAGGTTGCATCCCATCAATGTTCTGTAAAGAAAAGCTTCCATCTACTGTTGCTATTCCCCCCCACCAACATTTCATACAAACTTCAATACAGTTTCCTAAGCAGGGGTCCCCAATCCTCAGTCCGTGGACTGGCACCAATCTGCGCAAACAAAGTGAAGCCCCATCCGCAGGATGCAGGCAGCACGCAATACCACCACCCCCTCTCCATCCTCAGAAAATCCTTTTTCCACAGAACAGGTCCCTGATGCCCCAAAAGTTGGGAGTCTCTGTCCTAAGGAATGGGAAGTAGGGATCAAAACTCTTACTTTTCTGTGTTGAAGTATGAGGTGAGATCTGCATTTGGTGCACCTGAAACTGCAAAATTGCTGCTTCCTGTGTCAACTAGAATATTTAGCTGTTAAAAGAAAAGAAAGTTATTTTTGTATTATATTCAGACAAATTGATTTTTTTAAAAAAGCTTTTGACATAAGTGTGAAATGCAATTTAAAAATCATTACTTTTCAACTTTTCAGCCTTTATGGTTTGGGTGGTTCTTGGCTAATGGAAATATATTTAGATCTTTAAATGTTAACGTTCTACTAGACCACCCTGTGACCTGTTAGTTCATCCTTTGAGAGAAAGGATGTACAATCCGATGGGAATCTGAATGAACATTACATCTTAGGCTGACTGTATTTTTTTTACCTCAGAGTTGGAGAGTTCCTTGATCTTCTAAGAAGAACATATATCATAAGCAGAAAAATAATTGTGGTGGCAAATACACTAAAATAACAACTCAACATTTACTTAGCTAAATGTATAAATAGAATGATGTGGGTGGGGGGGAAAGCAGTAGGAGTGGCAGCAACTTCCTGCTGGTTTCACCATTGACTTTGCTAGCAGAAAGCTGGTAGGGAACCTTAGAAATCAGGATTACATGACCATGGGGATGCTGCAGCAGCCATCTTTGCAAATAAATCTGCTCTGAACACTGTAGAAATTTAAATTCAACAGAAGTAATGGGACCTAGATTTTTTTTTAGCATTCATTAAATTAATGGGTTTTGTGTACCTTGATTCAAACATTATTGTGATACAATGCAACATTTGGGCTAATCTGAGAGTGCAAAGAGACAAATACAACGAGAGTTTTAGTAGTACAGTAGATTTCGGCTGGAAAGCAAAATTGTGTTGCAAATTCTAAAAGCCAAAGTGCCATGTTGCTGAGAGATGAAGAGAGAGAGGCTGAATTAGCATTTTAGCGAGTAGAAATTTATCATTCTTTCATATTGTATGGATAGCATTAGAGCTAGAAATGTGTGGGAAAAGTATTGTAGCAGCAGAAAGCATAGAATAGTAAGGGTAGGATTTGAAGAAAGCAACAGAATTGAGAATACAGATTTGGTATTCTGGCCAGAAAAAAAAAGATTTTTTTTTTAAAAAGGAATCTTTAGCAATCTGGGTAACACATTTTGTTCTCCTTTTTTAGTTCAGCAAGCCATATGTTTATGATTATTGCTACATGATTGCTATGTTTCAGCAGGAAACTGCTTAGACTAGCCACACAGCTTAAGTTGCCTTTACTTGCAGGGATACTGCTTGACTAAAAACCACAATGGGGATTGTTTCTTTTCCCCTACCTTGAACTATTAATAATCAGGAAATAATTTTACATAGAATTATGCCTGGCCATGTGTATAAAGCCACATTCATAACTAACTGAAACCCAGAACTTTAAACTTATAAGAAATGAATATTTTAGGAGCAGGAATAAACATTTAGGACAGTTAAGGAAATGTCTGTAATATTTCAAAAGTATAATTTATTACCTGGCTATAGAGATTAGTAGTAGAGGAGCACAATGGAAATTTTTTGACTTATTCAGAGAAAACCTACAAAGATTAGAGTAGTAGTACTTCATTGCAAGTAACCCTAAGACATAATTAAGCATTTGAAAATTATTAGTTCCATATAATGGTTGTTATTTGACAAAGCCCATCACCACACAATACTAATTAAAACAATGCCTCAGTTAAACATTATTCGTATAAAATACACCCACCTACCCACACACACCAGTGAATGATGGCATTAAGGAAAGCATTTTAAAATAGGAAACATAGTTTAAATCTTGTTCAGTCTGTTGAAGAAATATTTTTGCCACAAGCTATCAGATAAATAAAATTATCAACTACAATTAAATTTAGTCAAACATGAACTCAAACCCTCTTTAGGGTTTGACCAGAACCCAAGAATTAATTGCTAGCCAAATTAATATTCCACAACTAAATGAAACTAGCATAAACATAAAAAAACACACACAAGAGAATGGTCAGTGATTGTTAAAAACTACTGATCTTGGAACATCAACTCAAATCATTAATAATACTAAGAAGAGTCAAAGTTGGAGTCAAAAATCAATGACAGCCATCCAGTTGTGTGATCCAGTTGTGCTGGGACAATTAACTCCAAAATTCTCAGCTGAATTCATGATATCTAGAAACTCTGGTAATCAAAGTCCTAAGATATTTGCTAAAGCTGGGGAAGGGAAAAGAATCACTTCATCAGAAGCGCCAAAGAAGGATTATCTGATTGTTCTTCTATACTGAAACCTTTCCCTGCAAAGGAAACTATCATTGTTGTCATCAGCCATTCAGTCATGCTTGACCTTTGGCCACTCTATGGATCAGCAATCTCTATGCCCCTCTGTCCTACACCACCCCTTTCAGATCCGCCATGATCGTCCTGGTGTCATCCTTTATAGTGTTAAAGGGAAGTATGTAGGTTGATAAAGTTCTGCATGTTACAATTTTTTAGAGGAACAGGCAGATATTCTAACAAATTACATTTTACTTTCTTCAAAGATTTCAATAAAAGCAGTAATACTACCTAAATCAGGATTTGCCAAAATGTCTATATGAACAACAAAAAGTCAATGGGTCTATCTAAGGCAGGGGTAGGGAACCTTGGCCCTTTTATGACTTGTGGACTTCATCTTCCAAAATTCCCAAATGCCAGGTCAGGAATTCTGGGAGTTGAATTCCACAAGTCATAAAAAGGTCAAGGTTCCCTATCCCTGATCTAAGAAATGATGATGATGATATGATTATTTTTCAAAATATCAATAAAGTCATATTTGGTAAAACATTTTGATATAAAAAATGGTTGAGAGTCAATAAACCATTGGAAAGTTTATGAAGGGGTTGATGAACTGAAGAGCTTGGGGCCTCTGACCTAAATAATCATTAAATATTATAATGAGCTGCATTTCTATCTAACTTGTTTAGTGGAGAAGTGGACGTAAGAATTTTACACCAAGTAGTTTGGATCAAATGCAAAAGTTAGTGATAAACCCATATTGCTTTTTCTGGTGAATCTGATCTTTTATCTGGAACTGACTAATTACAAAACCTTACAGAAGACTGTCAAACATTCTGTGTGCAACATCCCAATGTTCTTGTGTTAGATCTCACAGATTTGGAGGCAAGGCTGGCAAAATCTCAGGAAAATTAATGATCCTATGAAATTTGGGGTGACTTTTGCCATTATATAGAATGTTGTTTCTCTTAGCTTTCTGTTTTAAAGCCACCTAAGGAAAGCCCACCTCTTCAGTAAGCAATGGTGAATTCTACAAAACCAATTAAGCAGTAGAAGGAAAGAATTTTTATATAAGGAAATATCAGCCAGACTGAAATATGTCCCTTGCATGCTGATTTTCTGGTGGCAGGAGCACAGGATTCTTAATATTCCATAGTTAATAACCAGCTGGGTTGTGTGATGGGCTTCTGAGTTATTTTGTTGTGGTATCCTGCGTCCTGGGTTGTAATCTCCTGGGTCGTTTGTGTTTTGATCTCTTTTCCATTAGCCTCCTGTGTAGTAACAGCTTGGGCAATGGGTTGTGTGATGACCTTGTGAGGTTTATTGCTGTGGTATCCTTGGCCTTGTGCTGTGATATCCTGGGTCATTTGCTGTGTTGCAACTTCTTGAGTTCTTGTGGTATAATTTCCTGAGTTTTCTGATGTGATGTTCTGAGCGGGGTGGCTGTGATGTAGCATTCTGGGTTTTAGTCTGGCTTCGAGTTTGGGGTCTGGGTCTGTGTTCTTGGCATGTGTCAACTTGTTTGGTTTTGGGGTCGGGAGGTGTGACAGCTGGTGAAGCAGCCGTGGTCTGTTTTCTGGATGGTGGCTGTCCTTCATTTATAGGATGGGCTTGGGCCTGGATCTGATGAGGGGGATTGGCGGTGGTGTCCCATGTTGTTTTGGGTCTGGTGTTGGTTTTCATGGCTGGGACTCGTTTGTTGGTGAGGGCTAGCTTCCAGATGTCTGGTAGGTGGGAGGTATCGTCCCATCTATTCATGTTACCACAACAAAATAACTCGCAAGCCCATCACACAACCCATTACCCAAGCCGTTAAAACACGAGGGGCTAATGGAAAAAAGATCACTACAAAACAAACGACCCAGGAGATTACAGCACAAGATCCAGGATATCTCCACAACAAAACTCACAAGGCCATCACACAGCCCATTATACCAACATCAACTCCATCAACCAATCAAGAGGCAGCAGTGCAGCCAACCAGCCCAGCACACCAGCCCCCCCCCCACCAGTATTTATAGAGAGATGGCAGCTCCGATCACACACTGCTTGCACTGGCACGAAGCCGAAAGCACCAGCCTGAGGATGACGAGTGGCACCTTACCGAAACATCGCCAAGATACTCTTAATCTTACACGGGAAAAGACCCGAACACACCTAGACCTACATACATATATACATACATACATACATACATACATACATACATATATAGTATTCAGCTTTGTTCAGGTATTTTCCCACGTCATTATAGTTGTGCTTTTAAAGTTGTAGCAACGTTTCAGCAGAATCTCATCTGCCATCAATAGGCTTCTGTATTGTGTTTATTTGTGAGTCAGACTTTTACAGTTGTTTCAGTTTTAAATTTGGGGCTAGCCTACTGCTGTGCCAGAAACGTTGCTACAATCAACTGCCGGAACATTGCTACAACTTTAAAAGCACAACTATAATGACGTGGGAAAATACCTGAACAAAGCTGAATACCATACATGTAAGTACCCGCGAAAACTTAAGAAAACAAATATATGTATGTATGTATGTATGTATGTATGTATGTGTGTGTGTGTATGTATGTATGTATGTATACACACACACACACACACACACACACACACACATATATCTTAACACAGAATTACTTCACTGCATTTTGGACATTCCATTAAACTGCAAAACACATTTTTTTATTTAGCTAGTTTTGAGAAACAATAAAGGTAAACTCAAATATCAAGGAATGTTGTCTTGATCGGGCACATTCCAGCAACAACCTGCTTTTCCTAAACCAGAGATATTCCACTATGGCAGATTTTGCTCAGTG